TTGTACCTACGACGCGGTTTCCCGTTATCAAATACTATTCATATAGTATTTGTCATTATCTATAGTTGGTTATTTGTGTATATAAATAAACACTATGATTTTATTATTTCAAAAATAATATTTCTAAGATAAATTTATATTCCAAATATGCAATGACGTTGAATAACTTTTCCATAGTAGAATCGCGATTTAAGTCATTTAATCAAAAATATTTAAATAATACGACGAGTCAATGAATCAACGAATCAATTGGACGAACAAATTAGACAAAAGTCTACATAAGTATTTCAACATCCCGAATATTGTGGGGGACTCGATTTTTCTTAGTAGACACGTCATGGTTAAACTGTTAGATGTGCTATAATTGCATTAAAACGTATTAATTCAATTAACCACATTAGCGCAATTACGGAGTTAGGTTGTAATATTGTTTGATTTTGTTGGATGATTTAAATTCCACATTGACATATTGACAATATTATAATTACCAACATTATTGACAATCATTATACCAATAGCCGACACAAAAATTTAAAAAACTATAGATACAAATATTTAAAACCACATGCTGCTAATTGCTCAAGGCTCAGCCAGTAAAATAATGGTCACTCGTTTGTTATCGACCCGCCAGTACGCCAAAATAAATTTATCGCCCCACCAAACAATACGAAATAAATAAATACGAAAATATAAATAATAAATATCGTCATTACTTAACGCAAAATTACGAAGTACAATAAAATAAATTTCAATGATTTATTATCAGTATGGCTGCATCCAAGTTCCGTCCCAAATGCAAAATTTGAATTTAAGAATATACTTATAATTCCGTACCTTTTTGTATTTTCTACACTAGATTAATGTAGTACAAAGTTTACAACTCAGACAACAATTTTATATTATTTAGAAATAAATATAATATTGCTTTCAGTTATCGCACTTAATAATAATACAGTATTATTTATAAATAAAGATAATACTTTAGTATATAGTTATATTTAACTTTTAAACTTTCCAAACATTATTTGTGCGTCTCCGTGTCTGGATTTGTTATTTTTTATTGTACCTATATAGTAATATTGTAATAGTTTAGTTAACCTCTTTGTTAGAGACAGAATTGGTATGTAATTTTTTTCCACCCGGGACGAAATTGGCATAAAAAAAAAGGTGATAGGGACGGAACTCAGCTGCAGTCATCAATAGTTTTCAGTGATGATACAGTAATAATTACATTTTCACAAAAAAAACTATGGTCATTAGCAGGGCCGGATCTAGGGGGGGGCGAACCGCCCCAAGCACCTTGCCCCGGGAATCTTGTTTAGGAGGCGCCAAATTACCAAATAATAAGTGGATATATAACCATTTTTTATTCATTCATAGAAACGTTTTTTTTCGGTATCATATAAACGTTATTTAATTTTTTTTCTAGTTCCATCCAAAGATGGGATACTTTAATGGACAACCAATACATACAATATTGTTCAATATTGTCCATTTCGTTTTATACTACTGGGCTCAAGAAACGACTTCAGTGACATTTTGTAAACGTTACACGGTGGCTTCTAATCGACATATTATTGTCATAGAATTGTCCATTTGTATATTATTCTAAAACCAATGCTAATTCGCGATTCGGAAGGAGATGTATGGTACAGCGCTCTTATTGACGCTATAATGATAAGATTAAAAGCTTTGACGGTACTATAACAGTTAATATTATAACAACGGTACATCATTTAAAAAATATACGTGGAACATTCGTTTTTTACTTATACTCGATATTAAACTTTATTGATTATTGCAATTATAATTTGTTGTAATACGAATATAAAATGTTTAATTCTGTGATAGAAATCACCGATAATATGCAATACCATATCGCTGATTTAAAAAAAAACACTTTTTGTTGAAGGTTTTAAAATTGTATAGTACAACCACGCGATTGAAACGGGTTTAAATTCGGAGAAAATAAATTACGCGTTTGTACCGAACTTGGGACTATGTTTGCGAACCGATATGGAAAACCTCCTCACGAAACGCGTGCGTTTTAAACATTTTATCTATTATTTTACTGATATCAAAAAGATACTTAATGCTCTAGTGTAATTAGTATCTGAAATACAACTGTAGGAAAACGCATAGACTTGTTTTATTTATTTCGCCCTCTTAATAAAATACTCGGTAATTTTAATTTTAGGCAGCTTAAAAGTTCGCGTTTGTTAATATTTATAACGCGGTAGAGAACTGCGTTTCTATCATACGGGAAAACGGGTACGACTCGACAGTGCAGTTACGGTTTTAGCCATGGGTCCTATATGTACGGAATAATGAATACGAAATCGCGTTTACGGCCGTTTGTTGTTTTTATCGTTTAAACCGGACGGCCGTTCCGTTTCGAAAACACTCGAACCGCCGCCGAGACGGAAAGAATTACGGATGTCCGAATATTCGTTGCGTCGTCGGCGGGCGACGGACGGACGGCGGCGGAGGGGCAGTCGGGAAAACGTCGGCGTAGACAAATCGACGGTCGTTTCCGAACCGGTGGCGGACGCATTCGGACGGTCGACGTAAACACGTGTACCGTTAATGATACCGCCGTTGTTGACGGGGCGGGCGGGCGGCTGCGGCGGGAGGGCGGATTGTTTTTTTTCCCTCTGTGTATCAATTTTTTACGCTCGTTTATTTTTTTAGGCTTTGGGAAAACGTCCGCGGCTCCACGCCGACCGCGCGACGCGACGACGACGTCAACGCTCGTCCGTTATCACCGCCGCCGTGACGCTGCGCCCTGTATAATGTGCGCGGGGGAACGGCGGCGGCGGCGGCGGCGGCGGCGGTCATTTATCAGTTCACGTTTCATCAGTCCCTCGGCCGCGGCGACGACGGCGACGGGACTGCGCATCCATCACGGGGCGGCCGTCCGCCCGCCCGCCAGCCCGTCCGCCCGCCCAGCTGTACAACAATATTATTATACACGCTCGCGCACGCGGATATTTATGTGCGCACATTTTGTCGCTCCACTCCGGGCCATTGATTCGATTTGCCGGGCGCTTTGTACGCGTCGCTATTCCGGCACCGGATTATCATAAAGTTAACGACGGTTAGCCGCCTCCTCCTCCGCGGACGTCGCCGCCGCCGCCGCCGCCGCCGCCGTGACGTATCAATCTGTTTTCGGACGGCCGTTCGGGTTGGTCATCGTCGCAATGACATTGTTGCGTATTCGGGTAGTGGTAGGGGGGGGGTTACCGCGCGGTTGTTAATTGTTCGTAATCATTTGTTTGTTTTGCTGTCGACGCGTTAACGGGGGGGAGGGGGGAGGGGGAGAAAGGATTGCCAACGCGCGCGCGACGTATAAAAACGTTCGGCCGTTAAGCATTTTTATTTATTTTTAATATACATTATCCGTTACCCCACTGCGATCGGCTTTCTACCGGCAACACAAATATACAACCGATGCGGTTCACACGACAAATCAGTATTGTTTAGTATGCACTAAAATGTCGCGCGACCAGAACGTATTCGGCTTCGGCTGGTTTTCACGATCATTGCGAATTAAAAAAAAAAAATTAAAGGGGAAAAAAAGAGGCGAATCTTAGCGGAGTCTGGTTAGGGCCTGGCCTTCAGAGCCGCGAAATATACAACGCGAATCGTCTATTATCTGATTTAATATCAGACGATACTGATGTATTCGATCTGCAATATGGACGCAATGGAGGTTTCAGAAACGTTTTCGGAACGTCACCCTCGCAGTTTATTCATTTTAGTAATTGGAGTTAGTTTTTTTTTTTTCTATAGTAGGTAGTGAAAATCATTTTAAACAAATTACATAATGGCGTTTTGTGAAAAAACCATTATTCAGCCGATCGACCAACGTCCCCGCCGAAACATGCGCCGCGCGGCTTTCTTTGATGGTTTACCGACAACAAATCGGCCACAAAAGCCGCGCGGTTTTACGTCCTCATCGAAATGTTAAAGCCGCACGCCGGCCGGGACGCGCCTTTAGGTTCACATCAGCAGCCCCGGCACAATCCACGATGTGCGTACACTGTGCGCGCAAACGAAAACGCTTCGTACGTTTTCGGCGTAAAAGCGCAAATCTCAAAGCACTGTGACAAAAGGGGCCGCGCACCAGAAGAACAACGGCCGAACGGTGTTTTATTGTTCCGTAATTACACACGAAAACGGACCGGTTGTATCGGATCAAATAGAAATTAATTTGTCGGATCGCAACGACATAATGTGTCATAATGAATGATTTCTGTTCATTCTGTGTGCGTTTGCCCCCCCCCCTCCCCCGAACACCGGTGAGAATTAACGTGATGCACGTTGCAACGCGACGCAACACGGTACGTTTGTCGACAAATGCACACGCGCGTACGCGAAATCGGATGTTGGGAAGTACGTTTAATTTCCTACGGTTTTGTCGGTCTACGGCAGCGGTGGCCAACCGTGTTTTTCTTACGGAGAGCCGCGAAAAATAACAATAATTCTCGGCGGGCCGAGCATTTCAACGTTTACTTTTAAGTTAATAGAATATCCGTATTCTATTGTAGGCTGACACGTCTCGGTAAAAGTGCGGCGATACACTGAATTATTTATTACGATTTGGTTGTTATAGACGAGAAAAGAAATGTAAAGTACGCGCGTTTTTTTTTTTTTATGTTCGGTTCTAATTTAAAAACGGTCGCGGTTGGCCGCCGGCGTATCAAAAATAACCCCCCCCCCAATAGCCTCAATAGCCTCGACACGTAGTATTCTAAGTGGGTAGGTGCTCGCTATTGTCGTATTGTAACACTGTGTCATAGCACGCGATAATGAACCCAATGTACGGCAACGATTGTCCACGTACTCGGTACAACATCGCGATTTAGTTCAATACCCAAGCGTCTGTGTTCAGGAACCGGTTAATTTTAAACGTCACATTAACTCGCGGGGAACACACGGGGAGCGCCGACGGCGTAGTGGTTTCTGATGAGAGGAACTTTCGACGCCGCTTTTATCGGCGGAAAACCGTCTCGTTGGCCGCTGCCACCGCGACGCGTTGTGTTCTTTGTGAGAATTCGCGTCGAGCAACCGTGTGCTCCGTCCGGCGCGTCGGTTTGTCAACAGCCGGTCGGGTTTCGAGTACAATCGTTTTCGACATCGCAGTGATACGGAGCGTTGGACGTAACGCGATAATTAACGTTCGCAGTGTTCGGAACACTCGGTGTTGCGTTGGCGGTGCGTTGTAAGGATTTCCCGTAACTATTTCGCAAAGGTCTCGCCGAGCAGAACGCAACGCGTGTTAGACCCGAGCGAATGGACAGAAAATGTTAAGGTAGGTGAGTAGTACCTGGTGAAAATCCGTCGTTCTTTTCCGCGATCCGTTTGTCCTCGTCTGTACGGTCGTTCCCGGTGCTTTTTTTACCGGTTTCGCGTTGTTATCACACTTGAACGGCGTATCACGATTTATTTCATCGCGTAACCGCCTGTTCTGTTTTAAATTAACTGTTTATGTTCACAGTGTCGGACGACGATAATTAAAATAGACGGGGCCCTATTATGGAATACATTAGCGGCCTAGACAATTCTGCACCCGATTCGAGGTAAGCGGATGTATCGATTACTATTGGAATTACGTAGAAAAAAAAAAATCAAGCATTGTTAAAACTGCCGAAACTCGAAAATATCAATGAATTTTCACTTTCCGAATGTAGCAAAAGAAAAAAAAAAAACAGGTATCAGTTTTTTCTCCGCAAAACAATTGTTCCGTTAGATACCTTTAATGACGAGTATTTTTCATTTCGATTGAAACGTAAACGAACAAAAAGGTGACATGCGCCCAACACATTGGTTTTATTTTCGTCGATTTCTGTCGCTGGCTGTACAAGGGAGAATAATTTTACTAATATTCGCGCCATTGGTTTGTTCGGTACGAATCGCCGTTGTTTTCGGTATAAAAATTTCGATTTCCCTACATCCCATATTATTTCAGTACTCACCTAATGTAGATGGCTAGGTAGTATAAATATCTTTAAACGGATTTTTAAACGTATAATGCGCAATACATTAATAATACGATTCCCAGTTATAATTTATGCACCATAAATAAAAAAGTAAGTACCCATCGTCCGTTAATTATATAATATACGTTTATCGATTCGCACAATATTATCATAACATGATTAATGTGCTGTATTTCCGGCTCAATGCCATTGACAATGCAGATACCTACGTACAATGTGGAAAACACTTGATATCCTTGCACAGTGCTATGCGATTTGAATTTTGTTTTATTAGTTACTATTGTTGCTATGTTTAGTAGTATACAATTTCACACAATTGGACGTTTCTACTATTGACTAGATGTGCGCAATAATAAGACTTTTTTTCTTCAATGGCAATCCCTTTTATAGGAGGCCCCCTCCCCCTTTTAACCATTAATTATTTATAATGAATTTTATTGGTCAAACGAATTTTTTATGTCCAGACTTGACTGCGATGTGGTAATTTAAATTTATTTGACATTTTAGCCATGTTCTTCCAAATGGTAGTAAATTCAAAATACCCAGTAAAATAAATAATACATGGTGTAGAATGATGAAAACCATATTATTAACACACCTACTATAATTTTAGTAAGCATTGTGAAAAATAGTATGAAATTGACATATCAAACATATATTGAACATTGAATAAATTTAAATTGCCGTATCTCTGTTAATTTTGAATTTAGAAAAGTGGTTCAACCATTAAAAATTATGAAAAAATTAATTAGTGATTTAAACAGGGGGTTAAGAAATAAAAGTTACATTGCACATGTGCATATTTAATCAACAGTAGTTGGTAATAAATAAATCTAAATGCGTGAATAATTGCATTACTAAGTGTCACAACTAATTGAAAAATTAAATTCAAATTGCAAGTAAATTAAATGTTTTTTTAATAGCGTTTCCATACTATGTATTAACATTATAATATGACAAATAATAATTTATAATTAAAATTCCAAGTTGCGGTACACGTCATATTAGGAGTATTTATTATGATCATTAGAAAGTAATGTAATTACTGGAGCAATTGCTCCAAATTTTTCATACGGCGCCTGACAAGATTCTGAATTCTGCCGAATGGTACCTACATATATATTTTTTTAATATGGATTTTAAAAGAAATGTATAAAAGCTAAAACTTACTTGAAATATTTTGTATAAACATATTTGTTCTATTGGTTTAATTTTAGATTACTTATTGAAGAAATTATTTATGATCTTGCAGCTAACAATGTTAATGATGAAAATGAATCGATGCAATTAGAGTGAGTATTATATAATTTAAGGTTTCACTGTCTGTTTATTTTCTGTATGATTAAGTACGAATGTATGATTTAGAGTTAGATTACGATTCCGTGCCCATTTTTTTCACAATTACGTTTAGGTATGGTTAACCTCCTGGTTTACCTACCTAAATTTATTACAACGTTGCTGTTATTCATTTACAGGTAGATTACGAGTCTGTACGCTCATCTTTTACTACTATGGTTACCTATGGTTTGTGAAATATGCGGGTTATTATGTACCTATTCAGTTGATTACATTATTACACTACAGTGTTCCTAAAAGCACCACAAGCACTTACCAATGACATGCCCAAACTAACTATGGTTTATTTTCTCTCATTTTGTTTACTATCAAAGCCATGCTTAAATTACTTCTTGTGTATTCATCCCTTACGCTATCTGCGCTTGTCACTCCACTCATCTATCTAAATATTCTCTTATCTGCTAAACTCATTTTCTGTTCTACTTTTCTGTCTATCATTTAACACTCCGAACTACACAACATAGTCGGTCTCGCCACTTTTTAGTAGAACTTTCCTTTAAGTCTCATTAAAATTCTCTTGTCACATAAAACGCCTGATGCTTCCTATCACTTTATCCAACTACACTTATTTCTATGTTTCACATCCTCATGAAAGCCACTGTTCTTTTGTACAACAAATCCTATAAAATTAGAACTCATGACCTCGCTTATTACCACTTGTTGTTAGCTGTCTTGTTCTGTTACTCCAAACTTATTTGCTTTGCTTATTTGCCATAATTCATTCTACTTATAAGGATAAGTAGAAGTCCCTTAGTCTTTTTCCTTCAAATGTTACTCTCTATTCCTCAAGCATATTGTTAAATTATTTTATATTTTTCTTTTATCCAAGCTGTATCGTCTACAAACATCATACCACATGGTGTCCCCGCGTAGCGAAGATAATAATTATATTATACCTATTTTTTTATTGTTTACTGTATACTCATTTTAAAATAAATATAAGTTTTAGTAAATACTATTATTTTATATTAATATAATTTTTATTTTTGCATTAGATTAGACTAGGTATCTTTTATTAATTATCTATTAAAAGAAAGAATGTAAACAAAGTAAGTATAAAAACAACACACAAATATTTTTGAAATTGAAAATTGAGATTCTTTTTCTAACAGTAATAACTACAGTGAGTTCTGCTTAATGTGATCACATTGGTTCAGGTCATTTAGATCTATTAACCGGTTGATTTCATAAAACAATTTTTTTTTATGATTTTATATTTATACGTAAACTTAACATAAAATAAATACATATAAAATAAAATAAAGAAGCTAGGTATCTATTTTCAATTTTACTCGAGAATCTACTTATTTCATTTTCATATTAGCCTGAAATTTAAATCCATATTAAATTAATATACACATAGTTAAAATTAAATACATGATAATGTATGTACATTGTAACTTTTGGAACATACAGTAAAAAAATACATATAACTATGATAAAGAACATACAATACTATAAAAAGGATAAGAATGTTCATAAAAGTGATACAATTATCCGGTAAAGGGTTAATTTAACATTAGTAACATAAGATTTGGTTTTGGATTTTCATTTTCGATTCTATTAACCAGTGATCACATTAAGCGGAATTTACTGTATTATCAAGAAGCATGTTAAGATTTAACTAAACCGGTCCTTCGAAATTGTTTAAATAATTTGGGATATTCGTCAATTGACTAATAATGTAATATTAAAATAAAATTAATACAAATTGTTAATATTAATTGTTTTAAAATGTATTTATGTTTTGCAGGTATGTAAATTAGTTACGTTGATATCAAATAAACAATGTAAATCTGTAACAATGCGAGCGATTCGTGACTTAATGTTTGGTTTCCTATGCAGGTGGCCTCTCGTGAGATTGGTTGAGCTGCAGTACTGAAATCCTGGGTACGCCACTTCTCCTTTTCAACTTCTCTCTTAAAACGCTCTTAAGTGTCACACCCATCCGGGTATATTTTTGTTCCGTTTGTGGTTTTTTCCCTAGATTCGTTATAGTTGTATAATATGGCTTTTAATAAATCAATTTGTTTTATTATTATTTAACTCAACATTGTATTTATTTTATATGTATATTGAAAATAAAGACGTCTCGATTTTTCGTCATTTATTTATGTATGTGTATATTATTACACCCGGAAGTTTACTGAGCCTACGACGACTTTGACAAATCACCGCGGGTTGGCAGGAGGCCGTTTGTGTCCGGTTCATCAAGCACGCCCTATTGCCGAGGTCAAAAAAGTTTACGGGAATATATATTATATTATAAAGAAAACGTTCGAGTCATCGCGTTCAATTCCATCAGTATAATAAAATATAATCTCCGAAAACGACGACGGGACATCATTATCCGGTTTGGCGCGGGGGTGGAAAAAAAGAAAGAAAAAAAAAAAAAAAAAGAACACTTTGGGGCCGTTATTCGATTTGTCTATTGATAGCAAGATCCCCATAATATTATTAATATTGTGTATGGAGAAGAAAAAAAAAAAAAAAAAAAAACGTATATAAAAAAACAGATTGGCCGTGAAAGCGTTTTCGCTTGTAAGCATCTCGCATGGCCGCGCGCTACATGCACGCCGACTTAAATGATAATACGGAAACGTATCGTTTTGGGGTGAAAACTGTGGTTCCGCGTGTACAGCATCCGAAACAACAGACAGTCGCCCGCGCAAAAATAATAATAACAACAATAACCGCGCGGGACCGCTGTCGAATTATCGCGTCATCGTCCGCGTTTCGTGCGCCGGCGAATCCCGCACGGAACACAATTCGCGACGATAACGCAATAATTCGCGGCGGTTCAATTTGTTCCGCGGCGGCGGAATCGGCAAAATGCAAATCGGCATCGCGGGAGCACGCGGCGCAGGTGTGTGCGACCGACCCGCGGGTGCGGTGCGGCCGGCCGGTAGATTTTCGATTCGCGTCGACGGCGGAATGTCGACATCACGCGCGT